TCTCACATTCGACAGACAACAAACTTTGTTTTATTTTTCAATTCATCCAAACGTTAAAAAGTTTTCAAAACAGCAAAACAAAAGTTAAAACAAATGTTGCGAATCGTCATTTGGTGAACCAACGCTTCGTTCAGAAGGTTGATGTCGCAACAACAGCATGCAACAACATCATGCAACAGCATGCAACAACATCATGCAACAGCATGCAACAACATCATGCAACAGCATGCAACAATATCATGCAACAGCATGCAACAACATCATGCAACAGCATGCAACAACATCATGCAACAGCATGCAACAACATCATGCAACAGCATGCAACAACATCATGCAACAGCATGCAACAACATCATGCAACAGCATGCAACAACATCATGCAACAGCATGCAACAACATCATGCAACAGCATGCAACAACATCATGCAACAGCATGCAACAACATCATGCAACAGCATGCAACAATATCATGCAACAGCATGCAACAACATCATGCAACAGCATGCAACAACATCATGCAACAGCATGCAACAACATCATGCAACAGCATGCAACAACATCATGCAACAGCATGCAACAACATCATGCAACAGCATGCAACAACATCATGCAACAGCATGCAACAACATCATGCAACAGCATGCAACAACATCATGCAACAGCATGCAACAATATCATGCAACAGCATGCAACAACATCATGCAACAGCATGCAACAACATCATGCAACAGCATGCAACAATATCATGCAACAGCATGCAACAACATCATGCAACAGCATGCAACAACATCATGCAACAGCATGCAACAATATCATGGCAGGCAAGCGAGCAAGCAATCCACGTCATGCTCAACTTCATTTCTCCAAACACTGCCCTCTCTCTTTACAAAATAGCATTCAATTTTATTCAATAAAGTTTTGCAAGCATGATAGATGACCAGACGCTTTGACTTGCACGGCTCAAATATTGCTGTCAGAGTCTTGGTTTATAACTAGACATAACATTTACTTCATGAGTATGTTGGAGTGTTTTGCATGTACCATGCATTCATTGCATGTCACGCGTAGTTTCGTCTTGAGTGTGTTGAAATGTTTCAATTGTTCAGTGTGAATATTTCAACTACGCAACAATTTTTGATTACACATTCTTCACAAAGAACATGCTTATGCATACAAATATGAATACTAATGTAAATGAAGTTGGACCCGAATTTGTTTTAACAATGTTGCAATAATTATTTCATATGCTTCTTTAACGAACGCACATTTCTATTTATATATGAACACTGCATAAAACATGAGAGTTGAATTGGCTTCATTCTCTTCAACGGTGCGTGTCTTGTAATTCAAAAAAGTCTGCATCCGCGTGATAACGTAAGGCGAAACAACAATAAAACACGACCAACAGCTGCTGTTGAGTTTGAACTCCAACTACAATATACGGACGCAACAACACATGCAACCACACATGCAACAACAAATAAAACAATACACTCAAAAACACACGAAATTACACATAAAATACTGTTAATGTAATAATTATTATCATAATCCCAATTATTATCAGTGTTTCACAACTGGAACATTAGTGATATCGGCATTTTTGCTGTCAGTCGTCGGCAACACGGCGTGCATACACAACAACAACAACAACAACACATGCAACAACACAAGCAACAGTTATACTACTGTTGTTGTAATTACTATCATCTTTATTTATCGTAGCGTTTCAGCAGCAACATTCATATTATTCCATCATTTCTCACCATTCAATGATATCAATGAAAAAAGCTGAAAGAAACACTTCAAAAAGTAATTATGAAATAAGAAAATCATTTTCCCAAATGATATTACTATTTTTGATGTAGTAAATTTTTATCGGGATCGCAAAAATTAAAAATAATAAAAGAATAAAAACTAACGAAACCAAAGCGGTTGAAACTCATTAAAAGGTAGGAGGAGGAGAGAGTTTCACATGTTGCTCCTCCCTTTGACACGCAATGCTTTCATAAATATTTATTTAATTAAAACGATGCAGACAAAAATTACTTTCGCTTCTGTTTTTGTGTTTCTAACTACACCAGAGTAATGCAACAAAACAATTCTTTATATCACACGGTTTATTATTGTTTAGGGTTTGGGAATTTTAATTTTACCTTGAACTTTTTTCACTTAAGATGTCAACAGCATCATCATATTTGTTGCCGTAACCAGAGCAAAGTTTGATTGAAATATAAATTATTATTTTTCAATATTGTCATTAGCAAAAAGCAAAATACAAAGACTTGCCTTTTTCACTAATTAGCTGTCCTTTGAAAAACAATTTTTTAAATATAAGAAATCAAATAAAGCTGTAGACTAAAAATAATTTAAGACTCAAAATAATTTACCATGTTCTACTCCAACACATTTTATTTGAGAGAATTTTATGGAATTCACGGGCCTAAAGTTATTCGCAAGGAACTTAAACTGTCTGACACAGGAAACCATTACCTTAGTCATGTGAGTGGCCACCAAATGATGATGACTGACCATCAAGTAGAAATAACTCTTACGACTGAAACATTCAAACAGTTTACAATGATTGATACCAAATTTTCAGAAAGAGTTTGCATCTCATATATAAAATTGTTTTTATTACGTTATTTATAGATTGACAATGATTTGTTTGCTTACCTCTAAAATTTACAGTGAATGTTCTTGTTTGAAACATCTTTGTGAAACCATCATTAAAACAAAATGTTTGCACTGCTGGTGAGTTAGATGAAAATGGTGTTGGCATAATAAAGCCAGTTAGCCTAAATAAAATTTCTTGTTTATAAAACTTCTTCCACTCTCATACCCTCAAAACAGTTATAATCTTGCTACAGGATTTCAGAAATTGTTTGGCTTCATCGGTAGTTAAAAAACTCCTTTTTCTGCCCAGGTGTATTTCAACAATTGTCGCCGAAAATTTAGGGTTGCCATCAAAATGAATACAATGTCCATTCTCCCAATTACAAATGATGCTGATGTCGATGTAGCTGATGATGATGGTAATTATGTAACAATGCTGGTGCTATTGATATGAAAGCAAAGTAGTAGTCGTGTTTAAATCGTGGTTGAAGATAAATTTTGAACAACTATACTGCAACAGCATTATGTATGATTCAAACAGCTGTATGTAACGTATGCAACAACATTATGTTTCAAACAACTTTAGCACACACCAAGCAAATTAAACTATCTAACCAAGATGAAGGTGATAACGACTAGCTACACATACAGCAGATGATACAGATGATAATTACGTACGATGATGAGAGCATCTCCAATGGAAGGACTCACTTCAGCATGATCACAACAATAATCTGCACTAAACCGTTCATAACCATAAATCTCTTGGAAGTCTCATTCGTCAAGTGAGCATTAGTGGGATTATATTTTCTTACGCAACCTCGCCGATGACGTCATTGCTGGAACGGATCAACATCTTTAACGTTACACGCAGAACATATCCGCAACTTCCGCAACCTCACGAACACCAAGCCAATGAGTGACGTCATTTCTATCTTGTCCATTTAATTTCTTGGCTTATTTAAATATTGTTCAGAAACTTTTTCATAGAGGAAAAAGTTTTTACCGAAGGAAAAGGTAAATATAAATTAATGTTTGATTAATTATTAATATTAATTTGATATTAATTAATTAATGTTTTGATTTTAAGCGATATAATGTTAACCTAATACCACAACTTCATTAATTCAAATTTTCTGTTTTACTTATTAATGATAATTTTAAATTTCAATTTATCATAATGATCTTGCAGAACTGTATTTGAAATAAATATTAATGAATCTACATTTACTTTTTATGTTCTTAAAACGTGAGTGTACTTGTGCGTATTGCGTGTACGAGCACTGAAGTACCCATATGTGCACAACATCAAACGATTTCTATCCTATTGGCCTCCGAGGAAATCATATCATGAAGAATTCCACAGAGTGCATCCTCATATAACCACTTACGTTCCAGCAAGCGCAGAGCGTACGTACACGCATAATCATTACAAACTTCATATTCATAATAATTTTGTTACTATCAATTCCAATGTGTGTGTGTGTGTGTGTGTGTGTGTGTGTGTGTGTGTGTGTGTGTGTGTGTGTGTGTGTCTGTATGTATGTATGTATGTATGTATGTATGTATGTATGTATGTATGTTTTTTTTTCGAGGTAGGAAAATACATTTACGTATTCCCAGGCCACAGCCCTTGGATATGTCAGACTCGAAAAAAATGAAATCCCATACCGACTAAAAACCTCTTCGACATCTGGCCCCTGTTTCCCCGTTGACCCGCCGTTAGGCATTACTACACGGGGAGAGGATCATAGCTATTTGCTTTTCCTTCTGTTAATTTCTACCTTTAATGTATTTTTCTATTTTTCAACTTTGTTTGCTTCTATTTTCCAACTTTGTTTGCTATTTGTCTTTCTATCGTACGTAGATTTCGGAAAACCTCAGACGAAAATGAATCGATCGCATTCCAAGCAATTTTAGATGTGAGCATTGTATGCATGTATGTATGTATGTATGTATGTATGTATGAATGTATGCATGCATGCATGTATGTATGTATGTATGTATGTATGTATGTATGTATGTATGTATGTATGTATGTATGTATGTATGTATGTATGTATGTATGTATGTATGTATGTATGTATGTATGTATGTATGTTAAAACCAAAACATGAGTGACACTGAACAGTCAAACATCAAGTAACAAATGGATTAACGCTTTGATTTGTCGTTAATTGCACATGTCGGTATGTATGTATGTATGTATGTATGTATGTATGTATGTGCGAGCCCTTGGTTAAAAACAATAGCCATAAAAACTATCATTTCGCCCCTGCTCAACAGATAATATTAGTTACAGGGTCTCGCACAGAAGGGCACTTAGCAATGTTCTCTAAAATACAAAATGAATTAAACTTTTGCAACAACAACGATATATTTTGCTAAATATAAATTTTATCATTGGGATCACCAGATTTTTCAACTATTTTAGTACCAATGTTATCAAAAAATAATTGTGTCTGTTTATCCACTGGGCCAAATGTCTCCATACAGATCGGAACGAAAACTCTCGTATTGTCGTTTAGATGTTTGTACTTAGTATTCTTGAAATCAGCAGCTTTCACCGCAGCGGAACCTTGCTCCCTAGCCGTGTAATTGATGTACCTTTCGGCTAACGTGTGAGGAAACGTCACATCCCATGATAAACAACAACCTTGGGACCACGGTACCAGAGTGTAACCATCTGGCCTGAAGTTGCTTTCAGATAGTAGGCTGCTGGTTCCTTAACGGCGGGTATATCTGCTTTCTGAAATAATCTGCATGTATAATCATTCATGGCAGAGTGTCTTGCTTGTCTTCCTGAACCAAGCCTACACGATAAACCATGGTGACCTAACTGAAAAACATCCGCCCCACACAAGCATCTGTAACCTGACACCACCGGTAACCCAAGTCTCAAGCATAAACTCACTCTAATAGAACCATTGTCGAGCCTTGTACCACAAGCTGTACTGGGAATGGCCCTTAGCCAAGCAGACCCCAATTCACTTCTGACGGCCATCAACCTGGCCTTATCTGAGGGAGAGTCATTTAATTCATCCAGTTTTGATTTTGAAACATTCAAAAATGGTTCATTCCATTTCTTCTGCGAACACACATTTATGTCCATTATATCCCCGTAAACCGTGCACCAACGCCAAAATGTTTCAAGTCTCAAATCATCCTGGTATGCTACATTCATTGGTAAGATTTTATCCTGGAGGGATGCCGTGGCCGCGGCCGATGACAAAAATGCTGATGGTGCCAACTCGGCCACGACACCCAAACCCAGTCCACCCATATTTACCGGCAATATAGCCTGCCTCCAACCTTTATCATCAAAAAACACATTAAATATAGTCTGAAAACTCATGCGCAGTTCGTTGTTGAATTCATCTGATGTTTGTTGAGACGGGCCAGGAGAGGTACGTAAAAAGTATGACAGCCTTGGAATGAATGCCGCCTGCGTCAACAGGACAAGGGCGTCATGCTTGCTAATCTCCGTCATCATTGACATAATATGTTTAAAATCCTCCAGCTTTTTAGCCCAAAAATTATCATGGCGTATTCCTCTACAAACTATCGAACCCAAAAATTCTAGGTCATTCATCTCAATTCTTTCAATATTTGATTGGGCGAGAGATAAAGCTGTTGAATTTGTAGTGATTTCACATTTTTTTAAATTCAACTTGAAACTATATTCACGACCATTACTGTTGATCAATTCCACATCATCCATTAGGTCCTTTACACATCCCCCCCAACGCAATATCATCCAAGTATGCGACAACAAATTTAGATCGAAATGCCTTTACCAGTGGGTCAATCGACAGCGAAAAAAGCAACGGTCCCAAAGGATCCCCTTATTGCACACCTTCTGATGAAAAAATGATGCTGTTACCAAGTGACAGGAATGAATCAGCATCGTACGCCAACCAGCAAAAATTGAAAATTTCTGAGAGCCGAGATTTGAAGCATATGGTCACAACGAATCGAATTGAAAGCATTTGAGAAATCAAGTTTTAGAAAGCCTTCATCTTCCTTCATATTATTGACGAATCGCCTGACAGCGTGTATCGCTCCTTCTGCTCTACCGCTAATCCCGACACCAACCTGCTGAGACCCACCCTGTCCTTGATGACCAATAACGCACATTTTGCAGCCCAGCGTCTCCATACACATCCAATGGCAATAGGTCTGACACCACCGTCCTTCTTTGACAAGGCCACCAATCTCCCGTCAAACAAGTATGGAACTACCTCGGGTGGACAAACGCCGCCCAACAGCAGATTGATAAAACCGGTCATGGCACTGATGAGTTTTGCTGTTTCTATCTTATCATGCGTTAAATCCCTTAAGTGCTTTGGGGTTAGACCATCTCTACCTCCTGAGATTCCTTTTGGAAACTGTCTCAAGCACAACATAATTTGTTGGGGATTAACTGTAACGCTTATCGATTCTTTGTTGGGACTTGGTTTTCTGTCTAACGGAGCGGGAGGATGCTTGTCCTTTAGGGAGTTGATAGTGTCTGTCGAATCCGGAGCCATCGTATCCGTCGATGCTAAAATCCTCATAGCATTTCTAACGTTTCCCTGTTCTATTTTGCATTTGACTAAAGCACTTAGCTTTGGTTTACGAACCCTTTCATCTTGCCCCTTTACAATTGGTTCGACAGATTTCATCAACTTCTCCAACGAGCCCTCTCCAAAGGCATTTAATCTGCTATTAATTTTTGCGCTGATGTTTTTTTGTCCACCATCTCGAAGCTCCTTTCGGAGAATCAAGCGGAGAATAAATAGCAACCTGAACCAGAGAGTGGCATTTGATAGGTTATCGCAGATGTTTTTCAAAATATCCTTCAACATCCGGCCAAACTTACCACGTGATTGCTTGCGCACATGGTCAACTAACCGACAGCCAGATGATTTTTCAAAAAAATTTTCAGCCTGGTGCCCACAGAGATGTTGTGCCACGTTGGGTGTATGTATGTATGCATGTATGTATGTATGTATGTATGTATGTATGTATGTATGTATGTATGTATGTATGTATGTATGTATGTATGTATGTATGTATGTATGTATGTATGTATGTATGTATGTATGTATGTATGTATGTATGTATGTATGTATGTATGTTTGTATGTATGTATGTATGTATGTATGTATGTATGTATGTATGTATGTATGTATGTATGTATGTATGTATGTATGTATGTATGTATGTATGTATGTATGTATGTATGTATGTATGTATGTATGTATGTATGTATGTATGTATGTATCAATATCAATATCAATAATTTATATAGCACTAATTAGATAAAATTCAAAAGCGCTCTCACACATTAAACATATCAAAAATCAATAGTTAAAGGATAATACATAATAATAAGCAAAATCAAATACCCAAGACGAAACACAAAAAACAGAGACAATTGATATAAGGTGATAAACAAATATCAAAAATAAAGAATCGACTGTCATGACAATCAAACCATTTTGAAATCCAGTGAAGAAAAAAGACACATATATAAACTCTTAACACACACACACACACACACACACACACCCACACACACACACACATATATATCATAACAAGAGTTTATGTAACGCCAATTAAATAAACTTCAAAGCGAACTCAACGTTAGACACAACATGAAATATGGATAAATCAATAATCCGACGGTAGATGATAATACATAATAATACGTAAAGTCAGAAATGAAAAACAATAAATAGAAACAACCGATATATAAGATGACTATCTAATAAAAAAAAACAGCATCAATTGGCAAGACAATAAAACCGTTTTTA